TTTTATAATATATTTGTAAACACCACCTTTTAAATATATATTTAGTTAAATTGTTTTTATTTTCAATATAAATAATTGTATTTGATTCCTTAGATGAGTAGAGGTACATATTTTGTATGCTTGGATTAGTTTTTTTTTCGAATAACTAAACTAGAATAATATAATTATACCAATTAATTTTATATTTTCAACACAAAAAAGATAATAGCTAAGAATAAAAAATAAATTTAATTGTTTTAGGTACTTGAAGTATTATTAATTATGAATAAAAAATAACGAATAAATGGAATGAATCAAAAGGGACATCTCATAAATACATTTATTGCTTTATTGGGTAGCGTGGCTCTGTGAAAGACATGAGATTGGCCCAATGGTCCCATGATAAATCTTTGATAATAACTTCAATTGAAATAAAAATGCACGGTTTATATTTCAATAATTAAGTTCTATTCACAAATTTACAGAAGGTTTTTTAGAAATTAAAATATATGTAACAAGCGACAAGCCATCGTTTTTATGAATATTTTCATCRAACTTGTGTGGAAAAAATCTATAACGTATACATAACATTGACTTTTGGACAAAGATAATGAATTAAAAAATACACAAAATTTAAATTATTATAAAAGTAAACAATCCCTTTAATTTATTATTTGTATGGATTGTATGTTCAATATTTTATATGTTATACAACACATTGTATAACACAATGTATAGCACATTGGAATTGCAATTAAAACATATTATTTAGCCATAAATATATTATGCTTATCGTATAATTATATATCTGTTAGAATCAATTTTTTTATTCAAAATAATAACAAAATAGTGATTTATACAACGAAAACGCAGTAATATCATTTTATAAGTACTAACAAATATTATGTAAGTATCATAATAATAATATGTATTTATAACACATTTTTCCAACAAGTAAAATAAGATAACATATCGTTACTAAATATTATAATAGTAACAGATTAATAAATGTTTCATTAATTCCCGCATAGTTTCTTTGAGTTCGTTTAAAAGTTATGGTTAAGATTTAAAAGCCTTGAAAAAATTTTTCTTTTACTTTCAGTCCGGATAAGATTATATTTTAAGACGAAGAAAACAAGATAACATTATTTGCTTTTACTTACAATTATAAGCACTGTAGAACACGTCATGCGGTCATATAATATTTAAACGTTCAACAACAACCGTTAATAATGTTTAAAAGGTTTTTATTTTATTATTATTATTATTATTTTTTTTTGTAAAAAGTAAGTTCAAGCATTAAGTGCCGATAAGACGTCGCGTCTTACACTTTGATCAAAATTGTATTATTTTTTCCTCGAATATTCGTAAAACGTGTGAGTATTCAAATGGCATGCACACATTTGTCACTCTAAAAATTATTTATAAAATGTGCAGAAATATAATTGTGCATTTAAAATTAAAAAAAAACTGTTTGGTGTGGTAGTAGATTTATTAGTTTTGGTTCATCACTTGGGAGTTGACGCCTCGCGAGCACGAAACCTATATTTACAGCATTTGAAAAAATTATCAAATTTGTCCACTTTGATATAATTTATATTCTGTATACTAGGTTAGGTTAGGGGTATTTCGAAGTGCAAGTTTACGAATTCAGAAAATTTAGGGTRTATATACCTATATTATAACGATGAATAACAATGGAAGTCCGCATGAAACGAATAACAATAAATAAAGACCTGAGAGTATCATAAASTTTTCGTGTATATCACCAAAGATTAGATCATCATGATGGTTGATTACATTTGAAAACAATCAGTGAAATGATTTTGAGCGAATATCTATGTAATATACTACCTAAAAATAATAATGTTTGTTATGTACCTATTTATTATGTTTAACATTACATCAGAAGAGAATATGTATAAACTATGATTTTCTGAATAAATATAATTTTGCCAGTGTATAAAAACCAAAACATTTTAAATGTCTATAAAAATAACCATTATACTATTCAGAAAAAAATTGAACATTTAACTAATAGCTTAATATTGTATTATATTATACGATATACGAGTATATATATATATATATATATATATCGTATATTTGATTTAAATTTAAAAATTTAAGAATATTTTTCTTATAAAAGTATCAAGAGATAAGAATAGTTGGTTAAATAACAGCAGGATAAAACCTTGATTTAGTCGTTCACCAGTTTTGTTGCCTTGTTTTGATAGTTTTTGCTTAAGCAATTACTAAGAATATCCAAACACTGAAAAATGACTTCTTATAAGTTCAATCAATAAAATAAAAATGTTCTACTGGAAAATGGGTGGGTATACATAATGTATCCACAATCCACTAGATCACGTTTTATGGTCAAAAAGTTGTTTTCAAATAAAAAAAAATATATGAATAACCCATTGTACTAGTTCTTTTGATGTGATCAGAATCTAAAATGCATGAACTAAATAATAGAAGTGAATGATTCTATTACATTTTATTTTTAGTGTGTTGATATTTAAATACTTAAATCTATACAGTGTATGAATAATTATACTAAAACTACTAAATTCTTTTATTTTTAAGAATATATCAMACTGATTTTGTGTGTTTAAATTTTAAATAAATATCATGAGACACCGGTAAACAGTAGAGAAATTTATTTATATAATTAAGGCAATCAAAGTTTATTGTTGGTGTAAAGATGAATATTATGAAACTTTATGGCGGTTGTTAACATTTATTGTGGTTAAAAAAAAATAATAAATAATTTATCGTCGTTAAGGCAAACTTGTACATAAAATAATGAATTTATAATTGAAGGAAATTTATGTTATGCACTTTATTATATTAGTTAACCAATAAAATCATCTTATATCGATATTATTCATTTTTTACATACAGGTATCAGATATAATATGCAGGAAAACAATTATAACATAAACATTAGAGTCTCGATAATGTTTTTAAAACTCGATAAGTAGATATTCGAAAGAACGAATAAATMCACTCAATTGCAGTATTGCTATATACACATAAATACAATACCTACGCGTTATTTACTGATTAAATATTTGTGATAAATCCAAGATATATATTATATTTCATTCACTACTTTTATAATGAAACGTTCACATATTTACACTTAACATAATATTATAATATATCAGTCCAAAGAGAAATAMCGTTATTTTATCTTTAAATTAAATTTCACTCGTAGTAACATGTATTAATTCGAGGAAAGTTTTTATCTATCATATTCATTCTAATATCAGAATGATATAAAATATTGCACTGACCTCAGTTCCTTGAACTTTCAACTTCATGTGGTCTTCACGAGTAGTCTTGCCGTCTTTTCTTTTTTTCCAACAATATCCATCCCGTCTGTACCGCACTTTTTTCCTGCTGTACAATAACATTGAACCACTTTTGGGCCTAAAAATATAGTTATAAATTACACTCACTCAAGGTTTAATGTTCAACAGTTAAGTTTATTGAGAAATTAAATAAAAATAGGTATTAACTATTTATAAACAATGAGTACAATATTTAGTACCAATATTCAATAATATGTATATTGTATAGAAATACTGTGATAATATTTTAATATATAGACCATACCTAAAACCATATATATATATATATATATATTATAAATATATATTATATTGAAATATAACAGTGTTTAATGAATTTTATTAGGATTTTTTTCATTTAAGGATTAACACAATAAATCCCATTTCGTGAGTTTTAAGCTGTATAATAATATAAAAAAGAATCAATTAAGATGAGATAATATTATGTATTGGCCATTGAGTAAATTATAAATTATTGGAACAAAAAAATTAAAGACAGAATTCTCTGCATATAAATCAAAATCATAAATGTAGAGAAGGTTGTCAGAATAATAGATATTCTTCAGAATGCATCAATATAGGCACTATGCACTATGCAGCCTAGAATAGTTTCACCCAGATGAACATTCACCCAATGTAAAAAATTTCAATTTTAATGTAGGATTTGTAAATAAAATAAAACATTAAATATATTTTAAGGGTGGAAATATTTAAATCACCATAAGTTTATTTTAATCGCTGTGAGTGAAACAGCGCTGAACAAAATACCTATAGTTATTAGTACAACAGGCTAAGGATTTTATCAACAGTCTGCAATTCAATTTTTTTTATACGAAACTAAATCACATAACAATTAAATAAGTAGAATACCATTTGGCTTATGTCATTCCTTAATTATTCCTACGAAACAGTGTTAAAATAGAATAAATAATGGTTCAGTAACTAATTATTTTGTAGCATCCATAAAATAATATATRACCTAATTTTATAAAATTTTAAATCGCATTAAAAAAGATGGAAAGTTATTTAATAATTGCATTGCACAATATTAATTGATTGTTTTTACATAAATCATAATCAATTTTAATAATGCGAGAACAAACGCTCAACTTATTACAAAATAAAAGTGAAATAATGTGCTTAATGTTTAACGGCCCAATAATTTAATTAATTAAAAAATGATTTTTTTGTGTTCAGGGTAGAACTAAATAGGTATGAAGTCATTTATAAGTCATTTTTCAAATGTATAATATATTTCAAAAACAAATTGTCATACAGTTRGCTATAATAATAATATACTATGATAAACCGGCTATACTAAAATTGTGGTTGTCTGTAACAATTGAATTTATTGATGTACATGCTTTTACGTCACATAAATATTTATATTTCCTTCTTTATTCTTTTCATAATATTATTAATTTGACAATGAAAGACTGTATCAACAATAGCCAAATAAATAATCAAAAATAAATAATTCTTGAGTTTTTATATATCTAAAAATATATTCACTGATATTTATAGTTTATAAGCCGTTCATAATTAAATAATATTTGGAAACTTTATAATTTTTTATTTATTTTTTTTTTTTTAATAGGTACATCTTTTAGTATGCAGATTAAAAAAAAAATCGACTCGAATTTGTATAAAGAGACGTTGATTTTATCTCTTTCTTCGTCAAAATTACTGCCACTTAAAATGTTTCTGGTGTCTATAACGGTATATATATATAAAAAAAAAAAAAACAAGTCACTGGAGGTTTTCGTAAATGATCTTTGCTTCTGAATCGCCGTTATAGTGTTCTCTCGAGTAGTTTCTTGACGGGTGACAATTTAATTATTTATTCCTCGTTTATTCGAAAACTTTTCAATCGCGGACGAAAGGCTACGAAAACATCAACTTCATTTGCAAACTTTAAAATGAAAGTTTTTTTTCACGCTGTTTTGCAAAACAAGTCAACAACACTCTGATGTTAGTTATTCACGAAGAGTACAACTAAAAAAACGAACACGTAGCCTTTAAAGTCATTAAACAAAACCTCGAGATTGTATAGATGCATTTTTTACTTTACCTAGCTACCAATGAGTGCATATAATATAATATGTTTTAATTCTTTGGGACAAGTTTATTAAGTTTTAAACACAGTATCATGGCATAATATGATAGGGAACATCRAATGCGCTGCGACACCATTCAATCCAAATTTTTTTTAATGTACTATTCCGGTACAGAGTTCACATTTAATTATCACTAAGCATCAATTGAAATTAAAATTTTAATAATTTACAAATTACCTAATAGTTAAAAAAAAATCAACATTAATTATGAGAAGGAAACGGATTTTAGTGTAATGAAAAAATCAAAATATATACATAAATATGTACTTATTTTTATTTATTTATGTAAAAAAAAAATCAAAATATGTAATAACTGCTCAACAGAAAAAATAAGTATTAAAAGTAAGTGTAAAAATCTTATCAGTTATCTAATTATTAAAACGATGTGAAACTACATATTCTCTAAGATTTAAAATKTGAAATGGCGGCGATTTGGTCATAAAATGTTTTTKTATTGACTGAATGAACGTTCCATATCAACTGAAGTAATGATAGCATACTTTATATTAACTACATCAAGGTTTGAGTTTGACAGTTCTAATTTGTTTTGTGATTCYTCAATAACGCATAAACTTTCTGATACTGACATATTTCGAGTTTTCAGTTGTTTTATAATATGAATAAAAAAACAAAAATTAGCCGAAATGTGTGTTAAATTATTTTTTAAATTATTATTTTCCATCAAATTATTTACTTAATCGATAGCAGTGGCAGTTTCAGTATTAAGATTTGAAATTATATTTTTAATTTTTTCAAAATGTTCACAATAATATTGAGTGGCTTCTAACCACGTACCCCATCTCATTAAATTAGGCTCTGTAGGTAGATTGAGATCGGGGTATAATTCTTTAAATTTTAAAACTCTACTTGATGCTTTGAGAAATATTTTACTAATCGTTGTTATTAATTGGTCTACGTCATGGTAAATAACTTGATCTTATTGTTTCTACTACCCGGTGAAAAGCATGTGTGAAACAAGTAACATGTATTAGTTTAGGGAAAAATGCATTCAGAATATCTGTTTTAGACATATACGGAGCGGCATCGGACAAAAATAATAATACATTTAAATACTCGTATTTTACTCATTCAGGCCATAATAAATTCATAGAATCGTTAAACAACTTAGCAATGGTTTTATGATTGCATTTATCCAAGTGCTCATAATTTAAGAGAAATGAATTGCTAGGCTCAAAACTAAGTTCACCAACAATAACATTACCCACATAACTACCATCCTCATCAGTTGACTCGTCAATAGAAAMCAAATAGGTCATTCCTGTATATGTAGTCTAATTGAAGTTAAAGTCTCCTCATAAATTAAATTTACATATCTTTTTCTTATTGTACTTTCGTCTCGAATTGTTGTACCAGTACCAATAGATTGTTATAGTAAATCTTTCAATGCTATTTTTTTTTTTTTAGTTTTAAAATTGGAATGTCAGCCCGAATAAATGCTCGGTATAAATCAGTATAAAATATTGACGAATTATCATCAGAAGATGTAGATGGCAAAGATGTTAAAAATTGTTTTTTAAATGTATTTTGACGCTCTTTATTTTGTTAATGTTTGGTAGTAGAAATATGTTGACTTACTTGAAAGCGCTGGCCTATTGATACCGATTTTTCAMWACCTTTAAAGTATAAAACTTTCCTATTACCTTGAAATGTTTCATTCGATAATTCTTTTAAATAAGCGGCTACCTTATAATTGATTGAACTTGCAACTTTAGGCATTCTAAATAATTTTATAAAAAAAAAAAAACAACAACATTTCAATGTAGGTATGAGTTGAAGGAAAAAATAGCTACGATGCAAATAATTACACCCACCAGAACAGTAACTAGACATAAACTGAAGACTGAAGAGTAAAGACCTAACATTGAATAAACACGTTACCTACCCACTTGTCCACAGTGTATAATACGATAGCAGTGTATAAAGTACGTAAGTCCATTTAGAAAACGTAGATAATGTTTATTTATTTATTATCATTGAAAATTACAAATTATTTTAGGCTTTCATTGACAGACCATAGGGTATGTGAATGCCATTCAGATAAGGCAAATAATCTTGGACGTCGTTGTAAATTGACGAAAAAAACCAAAAATACCCAAATATTTACGAAATATTCAGTTATTTAGAAAATATGTGAATATATGTATTTTTACCCAAATATGTAAAAATATTTAAAATAAAATTGGACTTATTTTAATAAGAATTATCTGAATCGTGCACATTTTTTATCGGATTAAAAATATCTCGTTCCCATAAAAATATGTATTTTTACAATAAAATCCGTTCCCAATTATGAGTGTGTAATCAGTGAACAATCATATTTCTAATAACTGCATACTTAACATCTTAACCTAACTAAACAAATTTATTAGTAAGWAATGTTTTTCAAAGATAATAAAATAAAATATTAAGTTTTAGAATATTAATCACTATGTTTAAGTTATTTAATTTTCTTATGGTGCCTGAACCAAAAACATGAAGTTTAGACAGACTAGAAGAACATAATGTGCCTGAAGAATAAATTGCAATAATAGTAATAAAAATATAGTGATTTAGATATTATTATAGCATTTAATAAACTATAGTACTTATGTGAGTGATTATTTTATCAATAATATTAAATCTTTTATAGTTTTTGGAATTTTTTAAAAACCACATTAACAGTCTTAAGTAGATACTACGCGTATATTATATCCATACCAATATCTATATTATTTTAAACATTTAAAGAATATCATGAGGGGAATTCTCAACTAATAAGCATGGTGATCTCAACTCATATATTTCATTAATATTTAGCTGCAATGTAATTTTAATAACTGTTTTTTTGCAGTTTTTATAAATGTAATTGTATAATTTACAATCAGTTTAATTTAAAATATCTTAATATTAAAAAAAATTATAGTGTTAAAAAATGTATACTGAAAAACATCATATCATGCTT